ATTGCATTAGAAAATATTTTTCCCCAATAATTTATAAAATTTGTTAGATGATAGATCTATTATCTATGCATTAGTTTAATACATTTTTAAATTTTTAAGAAATATAATTTTTTGTGTTAGTATATAAGCCTGGCGAGAAAAGCCAGCGAGACAATGATAAATGTATGGAAGCGAACAGTAGTTACCGTGAGTTTTTGGTAATTTACAATTCTGTTTCGAGCTAGTGTGTGTTTTGCACTCGTCGAGAGCGAAGTCGTTGAGATAGTGAATCGCTGTGATTTATACCTTGTATTATAAAAGTCCTTAAGTTTAAAGTGACGAGAAACGTATTGATTGTGGAACTTTCTGTTTACTAAAAGTTTGTATCAAGAAAGGACTTGTATCGCTGAAGTTCCTCAGAAAGAATTTCTAGCAGAAATTAACAATATATATGTATATATTGAAATACTAAAAAATTTACACTTATATTTCAATCTAGCTTTAGCAATATATAACATTTTTGTATTATAAAATTATAATAATCATTAGTAATTTATAAATTCAATAAAATTTCCCACAAAACAAAAGCTAATAACATACCAGTACATCTTCCAAGAAAGCATGGTTTTGTCCACTTTAGTTCTTTTGAAACATTATAGGCACCAGGCTGACCAATACGAGTACGTATACTCTCTTGTGTTCCATACTCTCCACATGTAACAGAACAAGCCGACCATTCACTCCAGCTTGTCATCAACACCCTTTCAGTAGGAACTATAAGACATGTGACACATATGTTAGCTGATAGCCCAATATTTACTTAGCACTTTAAAAAACATTAACAAGCACTTTCTTAAAATGTAAGCCATCATAGTCCCAAATATTTTTTTAAAGGGAATAACTTTTTGTTTTAGAGAAGCTTAGTATAAGTAGATTGTATTGTAATTTACTTTTTTATGCAGTATCTGTTTCTGCCTCGAATGTAAGAGTGGGAATTGTACAGTATTTTTGGTCAGATTTTATCAGATCACTGAGATAATTATGCAATTTAGCTTATATACATGTATATATATCTGTCTTACTCCTACCTTACCAAAATTAACTTTTGTGTTTCCTTGACCTACCATCCTTACCATCAAGTATGCTAAAAGATGATGCATAAACACTATCAATTCTGATAACAATCTTACACACCTCTATCAGATCCCTTTGAATTCTTTTGTGAAAATAAAATAATTTCATTGATCTTCACTTGCCCTCACATGATAACCTTTCCATACCAGGTACCAATCTAGTGTGATATGCAAGCATAACATATGTTTTCTACTTGCTTCAATTATATATATATATGAATTTCTTAAATTTTTCATTTATTTAGATTGTATGTAGTTTTGGCATTAACATGTGAACCAGAAAGTCTCTGAAATTATCTTATCCTAGTTGCTTTGATTCTTTTTTCCATATAGTATATAATGTCTATTCTGCTTGAAAAGATATTGTACTAACATACAGCATCAGGGTTGAAGAGACTAGAACTGTAATATCCTTTGCCAACCAAGTTAACATTGTCTAAATGGAACAGCTGACCAATGCTTGCGAGAACATAGGTCACAAGGTGATACTATTGACTGGACAAAGAAACCAAGTTTACAGAGTAAAGTAAAAACAGTTGTAAAAAACTGCCTTACCTTAACAATGAATGAACAAATAAGCCTTATTCCATCCTACTTTATTTTACCTCATTTTTATGCCCTCCCAAAAGTACATAAAACTAGGATACCATTCCACCTAATTGTTGTAACAGGAAACCATCAACATTTTTTATTTTTATGTACATTGTTAAAAATTGTTCTTTTTTAACAAATTCTTACAATTTAGTGTCACAAATTTTTCAAAATTTATTAATAAGATTAAAAATATCAATATAGAAGAAAATGAAAGATTACTTTCATTGTTTATAAATATAACAGTATAAGAAGTATTATGTTGTTTTCCAAATAGGTTATTGACCAGCAAAATGATTTCACATCTATAATTAGATGATATTTTAAATATAACAAAATTATGTGTAAATAACCGTTATTATTAGGTGGGTGATGCAATTTACAAACAGAATAAAGGTTTGTCTATAGGATCACCTTTATCACCTCTGTTAGCAGAAAATTTCATGTTTGATGTTGGAACAGACGGCATTAGAAACATCGGTGAAAAAACCATAGTTGTGGGTAAGATATATGGATGACATGTTTTTAGTGTGGTAGCATGGAAATGACACATTAACTGATTTCCAGGAACATCTTAATACTATAAGCCCCACAATACAATTCACTTTAAAAGTGGAAGAAGGGGGCAGTTTAAAGGTTATGGATGTTTCAGCAAAAAGAGAGAATGGCTCTCTGTTTGAATTTAACATTTACCAATCTATATGCCCGAAATAAAAATCCCCCATAACTATTATCTCATTAACAACTGAAATTTGTTATCACTGTAAAGTTTCTCTTTAATTTCATCAGTTTGTGTTGTCTTCTGTGTGGTAAGGTGTTTATTGATCACAGATATCGAAATTTCATTTAATTAAGGTCTTGATCAAAGCTGAGGGTGGCCTGCTAGGTTTTAACAAGAAGGTTTCTTTTAATTTTCTTATCTTATAAAGGTGTGCAGTTGAAAAGATTTGTCATCTATATGGACAATTATGTTATTCCTGGTATTATGTTATTGTTGCGTCATCGAGTCACATGACTACTGTGACGCAACGTTTCTAGAACTATCATGTACTTTGGCGAATGGTCTAGTATTTACTAGTAGGGTAGGCTGGTATATATATAAGAGGGGAAAACGTGACGCGATAAGGTAAGGTAATGTGTGTGTAGATAGTGAGTAATTGAACTGCAGTCACACGGTATTGTTGAAGTTAACGTTCGTTCGTTACAGTGTTGTTTTAGCGCGAGTATTGAGATTAAGTGTATCGCAGAGTTATATTCGAAAAGAATAAACCGGTTTTATTAAGTAAAGACTTGTGTCGCTAAAGTTTCGTTGGAACGAAGTTACGGAAAAATCAATTAACAAACGGAGACGTAACATTATTATACTTAACATACAGACTAGAGTTGGTTAATTTGTGGTACTTGCTAATCAATTATATTCAATTAATCAGAGTTATAGAGTTCCTCAAACCATGGTACATACAAGTAAAAAAAAAAAATGTTGGCAGCAGGTGTGGTCAGATAGTTGCAGTCCTTCAGCAGATAAATAAAATGTTGGTGACAGTGCTGCCAAACAATTGCCTTACGTCTAGTCACCAGTTCAAAATTAGTAACAGTAGCTTTGACATAACAAAGACAAAGAGATTAAGTTTGATGGCAAGCTTAGCTGATTATATTTGTGACAATCAACTTAATCATCATCTCAATTAATCTATTTTTGGAATAATCAAAAACGATAATAACTGGAATCGCTAGTTTTGATTAGTCAATTAGTTTATGTGACATTAACTGATGCAATCACTGCTTATAGGTAATCAATTAAATCACCTAGCTCTAACACATATAACAAGAAACTATTTGCAGTGGTGTAGCAAGAGGGTGAGAAGGGGGCAGTCGCCCCCAGGCGCAGGTGTAAAGGGGCACAAAATTTCCTCTGGCCTATAATGCCTATTCATGAATAATTACGCCCTCTCCTAGGATATAGCGCAACTGCCCTACGTTAAGTAAATACGACACAGTGTTACATTATTTGTGTGTATTATGCTTCCAGTTATAACTTTTAAAAGCCGCCCACTGAAATACAGTGAGTCCGAATTGACGTACAGAAGTAAGTTGCACTATTCCATCATTCATCTGTAGATCTGTCCTAGAGTACAACGTACTAGGGTTATATCTAGATCTGGGCAGATTCAATACAAGGTGCTTTCAATCTATGCACCCAAATCTAAGGTCTAGTTTAGATGTATAAAGCTAAACTTCTGTCATT